TTGACAGCGTATGATCATCCCAGCGAGAGCATGTGAGTCAGGAGCGCTGATGCACTGATGTTGCTCTGGGCCTCGACGCATGCAAAGTTCGTGCAGCGTGGCGCCAAATCTGTTTGCGCCACCCCTTACCTGGCGGAGTAGGGCCGTACTGTAAGTGCCTGGCATGTCGTATGTGGGGGCAGCGTGGATGCCGCCGTTTACGCAGGGAGCGGTGATCATGCTTCCGCCCATCGCGTGGTCGCAAGGAGCGGTGCGACATGGACGTCCTCCTTGGATTCGATGCGTACTCCTCCATGTTTGGTGGGGATGGCGCGACCTCCAAGGTCGGTCCCGCCGCGGTGCCCTGTGCAGGGGACGTAGTCATCCTTAGGGCATCGCGCCCGCACGAGTGTCCAGGCATCATGTTCAGGTGAGCGGATGCTCCTGTGAATGTTGTGGATTCGTGCCGCTGGGTGTCTAGTTTCCTGTAGGGCAATGGTGTGGGGGGGGCGCTGCAGTTGTCACGGATTTGGGTGAGGACGTTCCACTTTGTTTCGGAACTGGAGACGTTGGCACTGACCAAGTGGGCGACTTGGGGCCCGTCTCCGTCGGTGCAGCTGGGATCACGCTTAGCGTTGCGGTTGCGCCAGCGGGGCATGTAAGTACTCCGCCCGAGGTCCGACAGGGATCCATGTGGCGGTTCAGACAGGTCTCTGAGCGGTCCGAAAATCGCGCCAGGGAGAAGTTAAGTCGCTCACGAAAAAACATACGTTCCTACTCATTTGCACGAGGGAGAAGAAGGGGAAGGGCTGGCCATTGCGGCGTTGCTGGCGGCAGAGGCGCGCGCGGCCATGTAATCACGTGCGGGCGCAGCGTCACTCGCGCGCCGCTCAGAAACTGCGACCGTTTTCGCCGCGGCCTTAGCCTCAGCGCGGTCGGGGTCCTCGTCGGCACCGTCCTCAGCCTTCAGGATGCTGGGAGCCCTCGCCGAGGCTGAGATGTGATGGGTGGGTGGCTGGTTCCAGTTGCGCCGCGGATCCTGGTGGACCGCCAGCAGTGTTGAGGATGTGCCCAAGTTTGTCCCTCTCGTCTCTGGGACGGGCGGGAGAGAGGTCCGGGTGGCCCTCCTGAACCAGGGGGGCCGCTGTAACCAATGGTCCTGCCGAGTTGCTCGGAACGCCTATGCGTGAGAAGTGCGCCCGCGCCGTGGCAACAGCGTTTGCAAGGGCCGCGACGCCAGCGGCGATCGTGAACTTTTCGCTGTTGGCTTGTGCCGCGGAGCTGGGTGCTTCACTGGGCGGTTCGATTTGTTTGCCGTCGGGTGCCTGTGCATGTTGACTCGTCGCGATTACGGTGTTTTCTGTTTTTTCAACCAGTCCCCGCTGGCTTAGTTAGGTGTGGGTGAGAGGCGGTCTGGGCACGAGCCCCGAGCATTGAGCTGTCAGCAAACAGCAGGCGCAAGCACTAAGTCCACGTCTCGAGCTGCTGCTGACCCCAAAGGTTGCGGCAGGCCTTGTGGCAACGACCTCGCGGTCACAGGGACTTGGCGGGCCTCGTCGTGCCCCCCGACGCATGGCGGAGTGCCTGGTGGCCTCCGCGCTAGTTTGGCTTTCGCTGGCTCCCGTCTGGTTTGGCCTCCAGGGTGGTACGGCGGCGCTGCTACACGGCGAGCTCGGCAAGGGGTGCCTCTCTAGTCTGTGACAAGCCACCTGTTCGGAGCAGGCCCCTGGATCGAAACCGCGATCGGTTCCGTACAGTAGGGGCCCTGCCACAAGGAACCTTCCACAAGAAACCAAACCCAGAGACCCCAGGGCGTCCTTTGATTTTTGCTGTGGGAACGTCACGCTTCTCATCTAGTACCGTCGAAACCAAAGAAACCCAGGGCACCCTGAAGGCAAACAGGGTGTTTCTTGGCATGGGTCTCCACTGTAGGGAGGGGCCTGGGCCCTTGCTCGCGATGGGGCGGCTTTGTGATGCATGCCTTCGTCGCGGTGCCTTTGCACGTGGTCGTCCTTGTTGGCGGGTGTGCGGATTGCGTCTGCTTGCCCATGGCGTTAGCCTGTGGTAGCCTGTGTACATGCTTGTCCATTGACCTTCGCTGAACCTGGTGGTGCATGGCTGAGCTCCTTCCCCTGGTCCTTCACCTGCCGAGGCGTGGTGGGTGACGGAGGTGGGGGCCCGAGGACACTCCGCACTCTTGTGATTCGTGGCATTTGCGCTGGCGCTCCGCGTGTGGGAGCAGGTCGGTCCTGCGGCGCTCTAGCCTCCTTCTCTTGACGGGTCCTGGGCGTAACAATGGCCAATCGCACTTCTCTGCCTGGCGGCAGGTGGGCTCTCGCGGCAGCTGCGCTTCTTTCGTCTCGTGGCGGGCGGTCGGTTTGATCTGCTTGCGATTCTGTGCTGTCAAGAGGGTTCACCGCGCTGTCTCCACCTGGTGGTGGTTTGGCAGCCTCAATTGTGCTGTCTGCAATCGCCTTGCCTGCTCTGCGCCGCGACCTTGACATGGAGATTCTGCGCCGGATACCGAGGTGCCACGGAACTGGGGCCGCAACGCGGCGCCAGCTGGGCCTGCCGCGTAGACAATAGCCCGTGATGCCCTCGGACAGCATGGTGCCGACAGGATCTGGCGATGTGTGATCCACTCGCCTTGGCGGTGCCTGGTGGCAGGGCGCCGATGGCGTGCGACTGCCTTGGCCTCTGTTGCCCGTCGTCTGATGGCTGGGCGTCTGGGGGCAGGAGGGGCCCTGGGCTGGCGATGTGGGCGACGTGGCCGTCGGTGGGGCTCCTGTGTGCGGAGTGCCCGTCGCTGGGCTGTTTTTTTTGCATGCTTCCAGAGCCGTGCCGACTTTGTGGCTGTTGAAGCCGCACCCCCTCCTCCTCCTGCCCCTCCTCCTCCTCCTCCTCCTCCTCCTCCTCCTCCTCCTCCTCCTCCTCCTCCTCCTCATTCTCCTCCCACTCCTCCTCCTGCTCCTCCTGCTCCTACTCCTCCTCCTCCTCCTCCTTCTTCACCCCCTCCCCCTCCTCCTCCTCCTCCTCCTCCTCCTCCTCCTCCTCCTTCTCCTCCTCCTCTCTCCTCCTCCTCCTCCTCCTCCTCCTCCTCCTCCTCCTCCTCCTCCTCGTTCTCCTCCTCCTCCTCCTCCTCCTCCTCCTCGTTCTCCTCCTCCTCCTCCTCCTCCTCCTCCTCCTCCTCCTCCTCCTCCTCTTCCTCCTCCTTAACTTCGTTGCGAAACAGAACACGTGAGCGCGCACACCGGCTTGCTAGGTCGCCTCCGCGTGGTTTCGTAAACAATTGTCATGGTTGGTTCTGCCGCCTGTCACCGCACCAGGCGCACTGAGGTGAGGTGCGCTGGCCGAGGTCCTGGATGTGTTGGAGCTGGCGCTGGCGGGTCGGCATAGAAAACTTGTCTTTTCAACTCGCGGGAGGAGTTTCTTCCTGTCCTTCTTGATCAGTTCGCGTAGACCCTCAAGACCCTCAAGGCGGCGACACGCTATGCCGCTGTGCGCGGAAAGCGTGTCGCTCTACTCCGCTGGGCAGAAGGCTGAGAACTCGACACGTTGACGCATGGTGACTGGGATGTGACTTAGCGCGTCGCGCCGAAGCGTGGTGGGCCAGAGCCGGCTGCGCGATACGACCCAGTCACCGCGCCTAACACGGACGCACGATACGGATGCAAGGGCCTTGGAAGGCCGTGCCGACACTCGTCGGGCGGGCGGTAGCTAGCCGGCGAAAGTGGCAAATGATGGGCAGACGTGGCAAGGATGCAAGGGTAACCCTGGAAAGTCTCTCATCCTTACTGTGCGCTTTGATTGTGAGCCAAAGTTCCTGACCGTGGGTCTCTTATAAAGCGCACTTTCGGTGGCAACTCATGGGAGTCTCGCTGTCCTTCTTACTCACTGCGAATCGACGCTAATCGACGCTAGTGGAAGCTAAATCTATGCTCATCGACAATAATCGGCGCTAAACCTGCGCTATCCCATCGATTACCCGACTCCAATCGACGCTCATGCACTCTAGAGACGAACTTGCGAGTCTGCCAGCGGGGCTCTGCCCCGCGAGATCTCCGCCACGCGTCGTGGGCGGCGGCAGGGTCACGGTCGCGGCCGCGAGGCGGAGATTTCGCGGGCTTCCGATGTGCCACCCTGCCTGTGCAACTGCTTTGGGCGGACGCTCAGGCCCGACCGCTGGTTTGGCGGGTATGCTGTCCCCGTCGCCGCCCCGTCGCCGCCCGTCGCCTGGGCCTGACCGACCTCGCAGAACTTGAGGGCTATTTTTCACGATGCTGATCTCGGACCGACGGCAATGCAGGTCAACAATCGGTGCCGATCCACCAGCCTCGTCAGTGAGCTCAGTGCGAGGACAGCAGCCATGCAGAACAGGAGGGCTTAGGACCAAGCCAAAAAGGCACTGAGCACGCGCCCATGTTCGCGTGCGGGAGGAAGACGAAGAAGAAGACGGCCAAGAGAAGAAACCAGACGTGCGGCATCAACAGCACCACGGTGCGCGCGACACGCCACCCGCAGCACGGAACGCAGGGTGCGTCACGGCACGCGCGCGTGGCAGACATGACGCGATACGCCTCGGTATGTGCGACTTCTGTGAGGCATCGCAGGTGCCCTCCCGAAGGCAAAGGAAGCCTGCAGGAGGTGCTAAAGGGTGTGTCCGATGAGGACAGGCATGATGCCACACAGGCGAACGATACCAACCATGACCAGATGGCACTGCGAGGAGAAGGAGGAGGAGGAGGAGGAGGAGGAGGAGGAGGACGATGAGCGAACGTCCACAAGGAGGAGGAGGAGGAGGTGGAGGAGGAGGAGGAGGAGGAGGAGGAGGCGAGGGGGAGACTGAATGCTGCTTTCCGAAGACTGCTTGCCCTGTCAATGCCAGAGCACAAGCGTCTGGCCAAGGTGGCGTGACACGATCGGTAGAACACGAAATGCGAAGCTGCCTGGCCGCGCGGCCGCACTTGGGGGAGCGCAGGGGTGCTGAGCTGGGCAGCCCTGTCTGCGCGCCCGCACTCGCCCTACGCGTACGCCGCCGCCGCGATCGCGATGTCCGTGCCGACTGTCGCGGAGAGCCCGGCCTTGAACCCGCCGCTGTCGGGCACCTTGACCTCCCGGTAGCCTGCAGCGTGCCCTGTGCGGGTCCGCTCCCTGATGCCGTCCCCAGCGCGCCGCAGCCGCGCGGGGCCGATGCGGTCCAGCGTCTGGCTCTGCGGCGCGGCGCCCGAGCCGCTGCAGGCGAGGAGCGCCTGCACGAGGCTGGACTCGGCGAGGTGAATGGTGGGCTCCGGGGCGGCCGCCTGCGGGGGCGAGCCAGGCCTCGCCGCGGCCGCGGCCCCCGCCGCCGAGAGCCTCTGCCGCCCCGCGCTCGCGCGCCGCGGGGTCGGCGCGAGGAGCTCTGTGCGCCCTCGCCA